ACTTACTTTACTTTACTCAACTTTTCCGATCCAGTGGCCATTTGCGTTCTAGCCCTTCGGCCTGTCAATATGGCAAAGAATTTACAGGTTTTTATCAGTTGTGTTTTGTCGTTGTATAGAGTTTTTATCAGTTGTGTTTTGTCTTCGTACAGAGTATTTCCGATGTCTGAGGAGGCAGGTAGGTAGGTACTACGCAGTTAAAGAGGTGGTGAGATACTATTTCATCCTGGCAGTCCCACAAGGGGCAGTCGAGTGGGGTATACTTGCGGATCCTATTTAGATAGGAATTCAGAGGGATGTGTTGTGTTCGCAGTGTTCCCAGGCGAAAGATAGTGACGAAATAGCTAAACAACTAACCAATCAAAAGTAATAAAGCTACAAAATCTCACCTTGAACTTGATGCGCAGTGGCACGTAACAAAACTTGTGTGTGTCCACGTCTCGAGGTATGACCAGCCGCGGCTCACAGGCCATGACATAGAAGTGACGGAAGGCTTGTAGGTGATATCTGAGCGGGAGGGGCAGAATCAGGAAAGGGAAAATCTTGATCATCACATTAAATCAAAGGGAGCTTCATTTCTTCAGTGTGGACATAAGAGCAAAGATGTATTTTTCACAGTGTGTACAGTATTCTTCATTTGCAATTGAACTAAAAAAAATACCACATGACAGCATCCATCAATCCCCACTTTAAAAAATAATGTCAACTATGGAAAGTGAAGCCATGGCTTCTAACTGTGTCAACAATCATATTCAAAGATATGGAAACGTCTTCCTGCCAAACTGACCTCCAGTAAAAAGAATTATAATAAACTTTCCATCCTTCTATCAAAAGAAACATAACTGAGTAGAGCTTACATGTATGGTTTAGAGCTATATGTGTGCACGCACACGCACACGCACACACACGCACACACACACACACACACACACACACACACACACACACACACACCCGAAACACACACACACACACACACACCCGAAACACACACACACATACACACACACCCGAAACACACACACACACACACACACACACACACACCTGTTGTCTGTACTAGTGAGAGGGAAGTGTGGGTAGAGAGCACACAGCAATGCGCCGATGGCATCAGGAGTGGTCTTCAAACTGTACCTGGAACAAACACAAGTCACAAACAATTCATTGAAGAGTGTCAGGGTTAGCGATCAGTTCTTTTGTTTTAGCATGTTTGAGTTGAGTAGAGAGAAGTACATTGGCACAATAGCCGTTATTCAGTTCTGGGAAACAGCAAGATGAACAAACAGAAATAACAGTGGGAAAGAAAATAAGTACGACCAATCAGTGACATCCTCCAACCACCAACCAGACAATGTGCAGAAATAGCTGTACATAAGATAACAGTTTGGTTGTTGTAGTAAGAGTTTTATGGCACTTGCAACACAAAATAAGTCATGTAAGTGCTGAGATTGGAGATGTTACTAGAGAGTAACATACAAAGAAATGAAGGCGAGATAAGGATGATAGATATCTGATAGGAAAGAAAGAGCAAACCACACAAGAGCACCCATTAACCACCCACATTAATGTTGGGAACAGGCAAGATTAACCAACAGAAAATGCAGTGGTGAAAGAAAAGAAATAGGACCAACCAGTGGCACCTTCTAACCATTAACCCCACAATCACAGTTTAGTTGTAGTAAGAGTTTAACACTTACAGTACCATCGGCCGTAGTATGCGCTCACTATCGTCGCTGACGCAACCAGGCACACTAAACATAATTAAGGGGGGGGCTACACCCCCAAAGTCAAAATTCGGCTCAAAATCATGGAATTTGAGTTGTAGGCATATTTAGCTTCCTCAGCCTCTCCTACAACTATTTCATTGCATGAGAACCCCAAAAAACCGAATTTTTTCCCATACCGGGCATGTTTGTAACCGCCATTTCCTCATAAAGTCAGTATTTTATTTTTCTTTATCGGCCGTTTTCTCAAAACGCGACTTTTCTCTATACTTTTTTTTCATGAAATTTTCACAGAATGAAGAGAAGAGGTAATACTAAAAATTTGTCTGCTGAATTTTTGATATATGGAATAGATTTTTGTTGGTGGTGTCTGGAGTGTGGATTTTTACGGATTTTTCGCAAACTTGAATGCTACCTCAGGAAAAAAATCATTTAAAATTTTCTAATTCGTTTAAGAAAAAAACAACAGACAAATTTTTAGATTTAATGTTTGTGAACACGCATGCAAAAAAACAATCAATTTCCACGAACGATAAGTGCGGTATTCATTACGTAAGACATGTCAATAAAATCAAATATGGCGGCGTATCATTGGAAACAAAACTTTTTTCCTCAAATTTGATTGCGGATTGTAAGACTCCTTACTATGCTTGTTATATGTGTGAAATTTGATAAAATTCGGTCCAGTAATAAGCGAGATAGCCTCCAGGTGTAGCCCCCCCCCCCCCTTAAACAACGAATGGACGCACTGCACTGAAGTAAATACCTAAGGAAGTCACTCTATATGATAGCTAAATGGTTGATGAACCTCTCTGAATTTGTAAAATGTGTTTTTTGGGCTGCCAAGGTTTTTCCAATTTAAAAAAATTCTACCACGGCTTCAGCATTCTAAACTGGTGGTGTCGGTGGTCTAGTGGTTAGGCTACCGGAATCATAATCGTGAGGTTGCGGGTTCAGGGGTTGGTGCCGCGGGCCTGGCGTTGTGTCCTTGGGAAAGGCACTTTACACAAATTTTCCCAACTTCACCCAGATGAAAATGGGTACCCAGCTATAGACAGAGAAAGACCCTGTCAGTTTGTTAGTGTTTCAGCAGTTAACCAGCTGCTTGCACTGTATGCTTCCCGGGAAGCTGAGAATGTTTCTGAGTGTTCTATGGTCTGCTGGGGTAATAATAAAGTGTAAAGCGCATAGAGCTAGCATTCGAAAGAGGACATGCGTTATACAAATGCTATTTATTATTACCCAAGGGTTTTTTCACTATATGAGCCTTCAGTACTATAAGTACAATTATTAATAGTACTTGCAACAAAAAATAGGTGTTGCAGGAGAGAAACAAACAAAGAGAAAAAGGAGGAGAGATAAGGGTGACAGCCACAGGAGAGCAACCCCCCCCCCCCCTCCAACCCCCATTCGACAGTTTGACAATTTACGTCCCTCCCAAGACCAAGCAAAGCACCCGCCAACAACCAACCCGAAAAAGGCGTACACCAAGCTGTATTCAAGACGACAGTTTGGCAACTTACTTCCCTCCGCCCAGGAAGAGCAGGCCCGTTGCCATGGCATGACACATGTGATTGCCGTAGGCCAGCTGGTGGTGCTGGGGACCCACGCGCCGCCGGAGAGCTCGACACAGCCGCAGGGTCAAAAGGTCACCCGTGCCGGCCATCACCTGTCAGTGATATACAGGAAAAGCATAATGTATCTATTCTGGAGATACTGACATATTTGTGCTTTCTGATAGTT